GAGAGGTCGGAGCAACTGTCTTGGTAGGTTCGGAAGTTTGGAACGTAATACTGCTTAAGACCCAGTCAATCAACAGATTGTAGTGGGTAAGCCAGTTGTGTCCTAGGACTAGAGAACATGATCCATCCAGCGATGTGACAAAGAAAGTCGTGGGGTGATGTTTCCGGAAGCGAAGTGGAGGGGAATATCAATGGTGCAGGTTATGATTGAGTTAGTGCTACTGTCATATCCCGGAATCCCGACCCCGCGCACTCCCACCACATCACACCTTCCTAACAACTTCACCATCCCCTACACCTTGCCTCCCCACTCTCCAAGTCACCTTCCCTCCTGACTGTCTCAGCTCCGGTCTGGTTGCGGCACACCGAACCTTGGCCACTCCCATCCCGGAACCTCGGTCCCGAGTCGGAACATTCGGAGATCCCGGATTTGCTCTGATATCCCGACGGACCTCCGACATCCCTTGACATGCCCTTAAACCCTTCCTCCACCCATTTCATTTATTTGAGTCACCCAACATCCTTCGGATACGCAACTCCGTTTTCGGAGCTACCCGCATCCTTCGGTGATCTCCCTCACGTTATCACTTATTAGTCATCTCCCATTCTTAGCACGACTACCTTCTTACTACCATTCAGTCGGCTAACCCCCTTTATCCATTTGTCTTCCCCATTCATTTTCCGGCCTCCAACTCCGCCCTCCTTGGCCCGACACCTCGGTTCCCCATTTTAGATATCGTTCGGAACCTTTCGGTACCTCTCGGTATCATTCGGTACCTTTCGGTGTTTTCCCCATTTTGTCATTTCGGGCTTTGACTAAAGTCCTCCCCATCCTCCTTTAATAAATACACGTAGATTAGAACCTGTAGTCCCTCAGTTCTAATCTCGACTAAAATGCCACCCAAAGTCCCTCTGAGTGAATCCTGTCCCTGTTCTACAAGACACCTCAGACATAAGAAATACAAGGACTAACAGAGACGTAACGGAGGCACAGCGCTCCCTCCGAGTCGCTGAGGCCGCGTCCTTCTTAGAGCCTCTTGTACCATCCAGCAGAACCGGGCTCCCTGAGAAGCTTCGGTTCACTACCGGAGCCCTTGGACCCCCCCTAGTTGAGCCCCGCCTGCATTCGGACTCACGCATTTACCCCCTCTTCCATAACCAAACGGGTTTTTGACAGCTACCATCGAAAAGGCATAGTTGTAGGGGCTTAATCTGATATGTCCTCAGGGCCAACTTCTTTACAAATGTGTCATCGATGAAGCAGTCCAAAGACCCAGAGTCTATGAGTGCAGGTACATTCTCATAGGTGCGGAAGAGTTTATTGTTTGTCCTAACATTGGACAGAGAAGAAGAAGAGACAGGAGAAGAGAGAGAAGAGAAATGGAGAGAGGTGGAACAATCTATGGAAGTAGGAGGAGGGGGAGGAGGAGAGAGTGGTACATCAGCAACACTATCTACAACAGGTAGAACATCAACCAAAGGGTCAACATTGAGAGGAGAAAATAGACCATTGGAAAGAGAAAAAGAAACAGGAATATGGAGGGAGGATAAGTTGGAGATGGAAGATGCGTTTAAACGCACTTCTTTGAGCGCATGGAGGGAAGAATCGCAACCCCCGGTCCGTGTGGAGTCCATGAGGGTGCAGACCAATTTTTTGCCTCTGCGGAAGCGGATCCTTGCTCCTCGGTCTGGGCCAAATGGGCCTTAGATGCGTGAGAAGAAGACTTGGGACAGTCCTTGACCATGTGGCTGACTGCAGAACATGGAAAGTTTCTCATCAAGACGACGCTTATGCTCTTGTGGTGTGAGCTTGCCATTGTCTCCGAGTTCTGACGAAAGATCCGGCTTAGCAGAGCTGGCCTTGGTGTTATAAAAATGGGGCCTAATTGGCCCATTTCTATAGCGTCCGGGTGCAGGAGGGGGCCGTGACATTGAGAAGATGTTACAATTGTAACAGATGTTGTAACAGTGGGGTTTACAATAACATGGACATCGGGTGTTTTGGGTGATAATAGTTGGTTAGGTTGTTGTTATATACATGTCACGTGATAATATACTGTACAGAGGCCATAAGAGGCTAAAAATGGGAATTTCCCATTTCCATAACACTCGGACTTTTTGTTGTCCTTCAGAGGCTTGCTACCGGAAGCAGAGTTGAATGAGGAGGAGGAAGGAATGGGGTTGGAGCAAGAAGAGGTAGTGGCCTTGTTGAAGGCGTTGGAGGATGAGGGTTTCGTGTGATGTGTCAATTCGGATTTATGCTCCCAACAGCACACATCGAAAGTTTGTGACAAGGTGCAAAGTTCCACAAGAGTAGAAGGTTTACCCACTCTGGCAATATCATCCTTGATACATTCTGGCAATCTGTTATAGAAAAAACGATGGAGTGCGGCTTCTCTGTATCCATGAAGTTGAGAGGTGTGTCGATTGAACTCGATGACGTACTTATTGATGTGGTGCCTGTCCTTCATATCCAGGGTCATTAGTTGGACTTTGGCATTGCCCACAGGATCATGAGGACCGAAGTTGGCTTGAAGTTCGTTGATGAACTCTTGATAGTTATTCATCCATCACAGATGAAGTGTAGAATTTTGATTGAATAATAGATCCAGCTCAAACCAATTGAGGGCCATTCCCTTGAGGTAGGACTGCATGAAGATGACCTTGGCACGGTTGCTAGCAAAAGCAAGGGGGCAGTCCTGGAAATTCAGTTCGCATTGGACCAGAAATACTCAGAGTTCTCAGGGATCTTTTCCATCGAACTGTTCGGGCTCACAGACCTTGGTCTGGAGAGCAAGGATGGTGGAGCAGGTGGACATCCGGTGTGACAAGCCAAACTGGCGATGGCTTGGGCTAGCTGTGTAATAGCCACATTGTTGCAGGGATAAACCCTTGCACTACAAAACACTGCTCTTTCATTCTTTCATGTACATACATTGGTGAGTGTAGTTGGGGTAGTCCCGTGACTACACAGCCACAACTATACAGCACCATACTACAAGGACCTTTGGTGAGATTGAGAGAGGCAGGCAGGAGATTACTGTCCCCCCTGTGAGCCTGTGTGATGTTGGGATGAAATTCCCTGTTACAACAGTGGTGGTCCTTACAGGGGGGATAATCCACTTTGTCAGGTTTTCAATCACGCAAGTTCATGTCTTTCATTTGTTTGGAAACACCCTTGTTTTATTTGGATATCGGCTATCTACACCATTTGTTACCCTAAGAAGAGGAAGAAGTACAAGAAAGGATCTACAAGTCTACAGATCCACACATTCCACCCGCACCTGCAAGACTTTGCAAGTTTCACATTTGTTTCTCCTGGCGGACCTCAAGACAAGGCACAGGGGATCATGTTATTGTTAAAGTTGTTCACTCCTGGTGGATCTCACAAAGAGACACAGGAGTCCATGTTTGTTATCAAGTTTTAGCGATGTGCTGCCCTTAAGCAAGTTTATCGTGATTGTCCCTCCTGGCGGATCTCATGACGAGGCACAGGGGGTCAGGTTTATTGCTCAAGTGGTTAACTCCTGGTGGATCTCACGAAGAGAGCCCAGGAGCCAGCATTAGTTTCTCTGATTACCAAGTTTTGCAACATGTTTTGGCAACGTGTTACCCCGTTTACCTCCATTTGACCCTCATTTTACGATTCCTCTCCTTGCTGGACGACAAGCGGCATAGAGAATCATCCGAGTATCATCAGAACAGGTCCTGAGTGACCCACACAATCATTTTCAAGTTTTACCTTTCTTTTAACCTTTCAAGATGGCTGCAAGTTCCACCATTGCAGTGCCGACATTTTACGTGCCCATGCCGATGCCCCATAGCCCAGACGCGCCCCAATTCCGAGGCAGACGGATTGTCGAGTTCCTTAGCAAATACGAGTCACTGGCTGATGCAGCACTTTTCATGGAAGCCCAGAAATGCACCTTTTTGACCGCTTACTGCACTGACAAGGAAGCGAGGTTTGTTTCCACACTGGACGGATTCGAGAACCCAGATTGGGTGTCGCTCAAGAAAGACCTGCTGGACTTTTATGGCGTTGATGAAGAACCCTTATTTTGCCTCAAGGATCTCTGCAAGTTCGTAGAAAAAGGTCGCAAGATGAAGACCTTTGATCACCTTGACCGATATTTGTGCAAGTTCAAAGCCATTTCCAAGTCCTTAGAGGCACAGGGTGCCCTCGCCGTTGTTGAGTGCGATGATTTGTTTTTCCATGGATTTCCGTCGAAGTTTAGGCACAAGCTCAAGTTCGATCTGCAAGTTCAAAGTTTGTGGCTCGATTTGACTCAGCCCCCCAGCATGCACAAGGTTGTCGCAGCAGCAAGGGCCCTGCTACAAGATGCCCATGATCACAAAAGAGCCAGTTCCTATTCATCAATGTCCGATGCGCAGACCAGTGTAAATGTTGATTTACCAGCGCTTTCAATGTGGCCCACGGTTCAGAGCGATTTTGTGCCCGAGTTTGATGCAGAAACAAGTGCTGCCAGCTCGACGCTAGATCAGATGGACCAGCATGAGTCTGAAGCCTGCGAAGTGTGGAGCGCCTACGAAACCAAGTCAATTGCTGTGTCCGAAGATTACGTGCTCGAGCCGGAGTTTGATGACGCAAGCCTAGAGCTAAGGCCCAGGAGACTCGAACCTGTCTCAGAACCCGACGTGCTTGAAGACCAAGTCTGCCAGACCTCAGAACCGGCTGTGATCTACTCAGTGTGTTCAGACGAAGCCGGAAAGACTCAGTCAGTCAAAGCAATTGCGTACTACGAACCCAATCTGGCTGTCCATGAAATAATCCCTGATGCCCGCAGCCCCGATTTGGATTCACACTGCAACAACGAGAATTCCCATGAGACGGTCTATGAGACCTTCGATCTGGACTCATATTTCGGTGATGATACTCCTTGCGGACCGGATTGCGACTACAATTCAGACTGGGAGTCGTACATTGCAAAGTCTAAAGGCACGGATCTGCCACAGAATATCAAGATCAGAGTAGACAGTCTAATGCCAGCAGGCAACGATGGGAAGGCTCACAAGATGATGTTTGCCAATGTCGCAGACTCGGACTTGAGTATCCAGGATGAAGACCCGTGTGGATCGATTTATGACGTCTTCAATCTCCAGTCGTATCTTGATGATGAGGTCCCTTGCAAAACGGCTTTCAATGTCTTCGACTCGTTCGCATGGTTCGACGAAGAGAACTCCCGTGAAACTTCCCCTGACACTTCAGATGTGGACTCGCGCTTCGACGATATTGAGACCATGGACCCACCCCAGACAGGCGATCCAACGACACCCAAGGCACCTCAACCGCTGGATTTCTTACACACCGCGCCAGAGCACAATGATCGAGAGCTAAGGCCTAGCGACCCCGAATGTGTCTCGAAATCTGACATTTTCGCAGCATGCCAGACCTCGGAACATGCAGCAATCGACCTTGTTTGCCGAGATGAAGTCGAGGAGCCTCAGTCAACGGAGGCAATCGGATACTACTGCGAGTTTGACCTGATCGATTCACAGCCTGTACAAATCTCCAAATTAGAAGGTGTGACCGAGACCAAAGAGCGCAGCAGCAGTGCCAAGTCCCCTGTTGAGCCCAGCGAAGGCAGATGTGAAGACACCAGTCCGGAGGCGACTCAGACGAGGTTTCAGGAATCAAGTGGCATTCCCTGTTGGTTCCCCAAGCATGAGTTTGACAACAGCGAAGTGGCTAAGTGAGTTAAGATACTGTTTTCGATGCATGAGTCCGGTGAAGGGTACAAGGATCCGCCCAAGAAGGATCCAGATAAGGTTGTAGGATACAAATCCAATCCCAATCGTGAAGTGCCTGAGCCGCTTCCTATCACCCCCGAGTTCGAAGACGGTTATGGAGATCTGCCCACAAAGGATCCTGATAAGAGTGCCAACACGATCAAGTATTCGGGCGATGGCCTAACCCGCAGATACGAGTCTAAGGTGACTCCAGAGGCTGAAAGTATACGAGATGTCGAGCGTGGCATCCTCACGCTTTAAATGCTGGAAGGCACCTACATCATTTGTGATGATGAGATTGCCCTGTTCGAAGTCAAACGCGAGTCTGAACCCAGCAGGAAGTCGGAAATAACACGGGCCCTAGACTCAGCGCAAGAGGACAATGAGCATAAAGATAAAGAGCTAAGGCCTCCCGGCCTCAATGAAGAGCTCAATCATTATTGTTCTATGTTGTGTACTGAGTTCCGCTGTGAGGTTTCCATGCTCAAGACGGTAGAGGGCATCTACGTCGTCCAGGATGACCTTGTGGTTCTCTTTGAAGCTGCGCAAGACGCAGAGTGTGAGGTCCAGTTCAGAGGCGAGCCTAGCCTAGCACGTCACGAAAACCGGTATGGCTCTAGAGCACTCAGGAGTGCTCTGGAGATTGGTTGCATACTCCCAAGCTCTCAAAAGCTCCCACAGCTCCTGAGTGATCCCAAGTAATTCCGGACGCGATTTTTCACATCATGTGACATCCAACCTTACCTATCTCATCTTTGACTGCTAATGTCCGGAGGCATTAAGTGCGTCGCTGGTGTATTGTGGTCTTCAAACACTTTGAGACTTGGCTGTCAATCACTAGAGGCATTTGTAGTGTTTAATGCTAGTTCTTCACCTCATTTTTGACTGCTGGTGTCCGGGGGCGTTAATTTCGCCACTGGTGTATCATTGAAGACTTTCATGGCTCCCTTTCCCAAGTTGAAAGTCGGCTGTCAAGCACCAGCCAAGAGGCATTTGGAACATTGCTAGTTCTTACAATGTGGACTGCAAACCCACTGTCGGCTACAATGGACAAATAGACAAATAGATTCGGCCAACTCCGCTACAATGAGCTCGGATACAAATGTATAATCACGTGTCAGGAAAATTTTCAGTTGGGCCACAGCACTTTACCCCATCCTGCCGTTCCCAACCTCAAATGTTCCCATAACACCACCACCATTAGTCTCTATGCCACATGGCTGCGTCTGGGAAAACTATAGCACACTTGGTGCACTGCACTTCCTCTGCCATGGCTGGCTTTTGCAACCACATCATCACTCTGCACACAGGCGTTGTCTCTTGAACATAGAACTCAAAACTCGGATTTCACAGCAGGGATAGATCCCTCCACCTCTATTGAGCTCACCTTATGTGTTGACTGGATCTCATAGCCATGTTTGTACATGGCAGTGCGGCTTTCCTGTGTGTTCCATCTGAGTGGACGATTCATCAATACAGGGTCAGATTGACCCGATGACACTCCACGCTGTGAAAGTCCCCTCATGTACTGTTGTAGTTGGTATGGTTGGGGTGACAGTGTCCTCTGGGTTGTGGCGTCAGATTTTAGTCATGTCTGGGTTGTATGTGAAAGCCTGGCACTTAAGTTACTCTGTGCTCTCCACATTGTTCTCCTGGTCTGTTTGTCACGTTGGCTCCTTGAATCATCAAGTGCTCAAATTCTTGTGAGATCCCAGTCTCATAGGTTGTGCTTAGCTATAACTCAGTACTGTTACCATTCTGCAAGGAGTGGTCCAACGTCTCATTGCTCGGCCTTGTGAGTTTTTCCAGTAATTCAATATTTATCATCTGACAGGAAGTTCATTGTAGGTACCAACGCGGAGCCGCCAGAAGTGTGTGAGGTGGAGGAAGGTGGTTCATTGGATACTTAGATATGACAATTAGTTACATTTCCTGTATGTAGTTAAAGAATTTACAATTTCTTCTTTCTGCAACGTGAATGTTTAATGCATAAACTGAGTGGGTGAGATCCAGTATAATATGTACTCCAGAGCACTCCGGAGCACTCCAGAGCACTTTGGGAGCAAACCAATGCTCGGGAGCACTCCAGAGGGGGGTACCTTTCTCCCGGGCTCTAATAGCTCTAATCGCTCAGGAGCACTCAAGAGCTGATAGGAGCGTCTGCCGGTTTTCGTGACGCACAAGATGGGGCTGAGCTCAAGGATAAAGAGTTACGGCCTCTCAGCTTCAGCAGTGTGTTCAGAAATTCCGACTCAGTGGATGACTACACACGGGATTCTGGATGCGAATCCGACATCGGCTTTGATGCAGTACCCAAGGGCATTGGGTTGATTGATCCCCCTGAAGTCATTCTTATGCGTGAGTTGAATCATGAAGAACGGGATTGTGATTTGTGTTGGAATTTGTACACATGGTCTTGGGAACCTAAATGCTAAAATATGGACATTCTGGGAGTCAAATCGCAGAACCCTGCATAGGTACCAAGAGTGTGTTACCATTACACTAAATGCCCACATTAGGCAGAGGTGGTTTCTTACAATTTGATTGGCAAACACGCTATCATACATGGCGGAATCGATGCAGTGAAAAGGCCTACCTTCGAGATTGCCATTAATGTTAGTCCTGGTATTGGAGCACCCAAGCACGCGAAAGCCCCATGTTTCCCTGGCGATGGCTATGAATGCCGACCTGAGAAAGACCCTGACAAGGTCTCAAACGCGAATGAGGGCGATGGCCTAGCCCGAGAATAAGAGTCTGAGGAGACTCCAGAGGCCGAACGTTCGCAAGGTGTTGAGTCCCATGGTGACACCTTCGCGCTTGAGGGAGCTGATGGGACCATTCAAGTACCAGCCTTGGATTGCGAGTCTGGGCCCAAGCACGGGATCAATTGCATGTCGAATACGGAGTCTTGGGCCGAAGTAAGTGAAATCAGCAATGGCCCATACAAGTCAGCGATGGGAGTGAAAATGAGGCGTACCATTGTGCCTAAACCTCTCGTTCGACCTGTAGTTCTCCCAGATGTAATGGCCACGGTGGCACAGAGATGCATGCAAGTTGATGGCAGAATGATAAAGATTGATGCCGATTGGCTCGAGGTTGAGATGAACGCGATCTCCCATGTTCCAGGACTTCTTGATCACCAGAGTGAAGCCACAATGACGACAGAAGGGATCATAGAAAGTCTAGAGTGCCAAGGTATCCCTGAGGGTCTGAGTCTCATGTCGGGATTCAAAGGCGAAATGGAGCCAACTGCCGGCACCATGAGTGAGTGCAGAAGCCGAGTACCCAGTCACCTGGAGACATCATTGAGCTGAGAGGCCATGCATAAAGAGCTTAGGCCTCCTGTCCAATGCCAAAGTCCACATGTGAGCTGTGCGATGTCAAAGCCATGTTCAGGGTCGAAGACTCGTAACAAGTTTGATGTTCGAGAACCCATTGCTCAGCCAGATGTTCTCGGCAGAGAGAGTAATCCCAGATGTCAGAGAAGAGCTCCATGTGCACAGGATGATAGTCTAGACAGCTGGAGATGCCAGAAGAATGTGCTCATTGAGTCGAAATCCCGCGACCCTTACCCCAGCGCGGTCTCATGGGGTTGGCGTACTGAACGTGTGACATGTTCCTCAGTCGATTTTTTGCGAGCCAAGTGTCCAGAAGGTTCTGCTAGTCAGCACCATAGTCAGACCGCTCAGGTGTATGGCTATCAGGGATTCATTAAGAAGTCAAAGACATCGCTCCCGAGGACAATTTGCGTTGTGTTGCAAAATGGAGACGAGGCTGAGCATTGCCTTGAGCATGGATACATGCCTTGCATTAGCGAATACAAGCCTAGGGTGTGGAGGAAGAAGCCTCCCTGATGTTGCTGGGTTGACGCAATCTGGCAGTCCCAATCACGCATCACATCAAGTTATTTATTTATGCAACATTCATAATTTAGTCTTTCCAAACCCTCAGGATTTGTGGATTGGGGATGATGCCGCTGGTTTCATTTGGGGGACCACGATTGAGAGCTAGGCCTGTATGTAACGGGGATTTGCTGGTGCACCCTAAACGAGCCAAATCCCACGATGGTACTACCCTCAGCAAGCACCTCACATCCATCAAATGTAGCCCATATCCACACACACTCCTTACACATATTTCCTATATTTCCTAATTTTTCTGATTTCATTTCCGGTGTCTAGAGCCCGATGTTTCTGTTTTCTTATTGTCATGTGATACTCTTTCCTTATTTATCTATCGGACTCTTCCGTGACCCGCTGTACAGTAGCTAGAGAGTTATCAGCACCAGACTCGAGTGGGCCAATATACCCCACTTCAGACTTGACTTGTAGTGAGATCCTTATCCCCCCCCTCTTTCCTGTTGTGAGTCTAGTTGGATAGACCTGTTACAATGTTGGGGATGGGTTTGGCATTGTTGGCGGTTGGGACAGTAGGGATGGGAGGATCAGCAGGAGGAGGGTCGATGAAATTGGGGACCTCGGAACCGAGTCCAAAGAAGTGAACTGGATCTATGGGCAGTTCCATGATGTCTCCGAAGTCGGGATCTGCAACTGGTGATTGATTTCTAATGGGACGCATGATTGGAGTCGACAGGAGAGGGGTTTCTAGATTAGAGAAGCTGCGAAACTCAAGTGGGTTTCTCGCCAGATGACTAGGACCAGGCTGCAAGGGTTCAGGGGACGGTGAGGCAGAGTTGGGGACTAATGTGCATAGTTGTGAACGAGTGCGAGGGGCTTTGGGTGCCATACAAGATGTGTACTAGTCAGGGAGTGATAAAATACTGTCAGAGACTGGATCGAGACGAAGGATTTGTCTCCATGGTGGAGGGCTTCGGCCTTAGCGACTCAAGCCAGGAGCGCTGTGCCAATTTACATGTCCGTGCCCTAATTTACTTACTGGCAACGAGAACTAAAGGGGGATCAACTCTAGTCGATTTTATCACTGAGGTGTTGTCATATCCATCCCCGGCCATCGACTTCCAGTCCCTCCGATCCCTCCGGTCTACCTCCGCTCCTTCTTCACTAACCTCGGAGCTCCTGTATTCCGCAACCCCCTCAGTACCCCTCGATGGTCACCACCCCCTCCTTTCAATTTATTACCTACACCTCCCTAAGTACGGAGCCCCGAAGGCTTCCGGACAGCTCCGACGTCCACTAGCACACCCCCACCTCTGCTGGGCAATACACTCGCTTGCCCTGCAAAGCCCACCTTCAGGCCTATCCCTCCTTTCCATTTCTGGGTTATCGCCTACCTTTCTGTTAACCCCATAACCTGACTTGTCGGTAATATTCAATCGGCTAATGTCTAACCCCGTTAGCTCCACTCCGCTCGGCTCTGCCATTTGCGGACCTGCCCTCATTGTAACTATATATATACTCAACTTGTACATAGGTTACGCCTCAGTAATAAAATCGACTAGAGTTTACCCCCTTTCAGTTCTGGTTGCCAGTTTAGTAAGTTAGGGCACGGACGTGTTACTTGGCACAGCACTCCTGGCACAAGTCGCTGAGGCCGAAGCCCTCCACCACGGAGACATTCCTTTGTCTCGACCTGGTCTCTGACAGGTGTAACCTATGTACAAGTTAAGTATATATAGTTACAGCGAGGGCAGGCCCATGAATGGTGGGGCTGAGCGGAGCAGAGCTAACGGAGTTAAACATTAGCCGATTGAATATTACCAACAAGTCAGGTTATGGGGTTAG